TTGTTAATATCATATCTAGACATCAAGCCGAACGATAATGTACCAAATAGTAATGACAAGTCAAATATTGTTAAATCTGAAGCGGATTTAGTAACTAGTGTAATACGTCACTATCGTCTGAGCGTACTCCGTACTCACGTACCGCCTGATGATAGCGACAAAAAGATTAAAAAAGTAACAAAGGATAATTATTATTTCATTCAGTATTTATTAATGTATTACTATTTTTTACAGGGAAAGTATGGAAAACCACCCATTTCTGGATCGAAATACGTACTCGATGTCAAGGAAGACGGTAATGTTCCCCTTTCACTCCCTAGAGCTGCGGGGACAAAAAGAAAAAGAGTATTGACTGAGACCAGTGACAGAAAACTTAAAAAAGTAATAAAGATAAATTGTTTTTTTTTCAGTATGTATATATTAATATATTGTAATTTTAATAGAAAAAGTATGAAAAACTATCCAATGTGGGTTCAACGAATCAACGTGATGTCGCGGAAGACGGTAATGTCTCTCCTTACTTCTCGCAACCCCCTCCCCCCCAAATACATCGTCCAATTAGAGGTAGTGTTCAGTGGGCCGGTTGGCCACTGCTATCTCCAAGGAGAAATCAAAATTATTTAGGCAAAGTGCTACACTTAATGCACTTAGTGTGAACGGGATATGACCTGGTGTGTTTAATTTTGATCCATTGGATGTTGCATGTTTATATTTGTGTTCTTTTGAGTATATTAATCAAACATAGTATGTATAGATACCAAGTACCCATAGTATATCATACAGCAATATTACATTTATTTGTTGAGAGCATATATCAAACAGCTTTAACCTTTTAAGGAGCGAATTAAAATTACACAGGCGTTACTCAGAGAGCAAATTACGAATGAAAAATTGAAAAAAAAAAACCAATTCCAAAGCAATTATGACTAGTTAATAATGATATTTAAGTCACACTTTTATATTTTTATCGATGACATATAAATACGTCTTAAATAAGTGTAGAATGTAGATATATCATATTTAGGGCGCATGTAAACTCCGCCAGTGAAAAAAATAGTATAAAACAGTATACACTCTACATTTTATATAATAACAGATAATTTATAAAACAATAAATAATAATTTTATAATAATAACGATTCTTATTAAATAAGTATATGCCACGAAATATAAAAAACTTAAAAATAAAAATAATAACTGTTAGAGCAAATTATACAAATTATTGCAATGGCCAGTATTATGTCAAGAAATAATGATGGCCAATTGTAATAGGTAACTAGTAATCAAAAAATATGTAGATATATTATGTTATTATGACATTAAATTATGTTATAATACTTATAATAATTTGAACTGTGAACTAAAATTATGAGATACTATTTGTAGAAATTCAAACCATTAAGTCTAATTTAAATCCATTATTGAAGTTATACTTCTTTACGCACGGTAGTGAGGAAAAAAAAAAGCGAACGGGCGGCGCGTACGAACGGGCGGCCGTACGAACGCGAAAGCGTACATGTCCGTAAATAAATAAATATTGTCATGGTAATGTTGTTTTATTATATATTATAATATATATATGTATATATAAAACAGTAAGCTGATTGACTGCTATCAACGCACAGCTCAAACCATTGGACGGATCTGGCTGAAATTTGGCATACAGATAGCTATTATGATGTAGACGTGCGCTAAGAAAGGATTTTTCGAAATTCGCATTTTAAATAGGTGCTCAAACAGGGACATTGAGATTCAAGATAGAAATTGGAAATTTTAGATTTATTTATTAATAGTTACCATTGGTTACAGTCTACATTAGAAATTAGCATTTATTTATTGGTTGCCATTGGTTATTCGGGCAGATCAGGTACAAGCTTGCATCAAATCAAATTATTGAACATTGCTTACCAGAGTGGCTGAGTTGCACTTACCCCAGCAAGTTACACCCAAAAGGAGTTCAACAATCATAATTTTTTTAAGAGTTGTGATTTTTTACGAGCAACCAAATTTGTTATATGAATAATTAATGATCAATTATTATTTATTTTTATTATTATTATTAGTATTCACTCACAAATCTATTGTCTAGATAAAAACAATACTACAAACAATTACTCATCGATCTGTCGAATAAAAATATAAAAATAATAATAAAACTATCAATAATAAATAATTCCGGATACTTCTTCTCATTTTTTAAATTAATTAATATTTTTTTCTTTCTTTTTCACTCACTCACGTGTACCATTCAAAAGAAGTTTAACTTCCCGCGCGCGTACTGGTAACACACATGGTTTTATAACTATTTATTGTGTATAGTTTTCTCTAAACCAATCATTTTTTTTTCATTTTGAATTTTTGAGTTTACTTAGTAGAGAAATATTCAAATATCATATTTTAGTTTTACATAAGGAAGTCATTAATAATAGCGGAGTTTCCATGTACCTATTCCAGCTAAGAAAATAAAAGTGGAGGAGTTAAAATTACCTAGTATTCTGGCAGAGTTTACAATCGCCCTAGGTACAAATAGGTTAGTTTATATTATTTATAAATTATAAGCAAAATCATATAAAATAAAAAATACACATAGGAAGTAAACGTATATATATAAAACATCATTTAGATACATCTTTTGAAAACATATATTATATTATATGGCAGTACAATCTCGTAAAATACGGATTTATTAAATTATGATATTACTTTACAGAATAATACAATTTTCAATCTCACATTAAAAACAATGTTGATAATTATTTAATTTAAGTATTATTTATTTATTTATTATTTTATTTCATTTCATAAATACATATAAACACTGGGCCACACAGAAAATTTGGGCTATATATTAGAATACAATTTAAATGTTTTCATCCTATTTTATTACTAGGTAATATTAATATTACTAGTATTATTAATCCGTTTAAGACAAACTCCATAGGACATTAGGACTGGTTAAAAAACGTATAGTTCTGGAAATTGTTCATCAAATTACAGGATAAATAAGCATATAATATTATTATTAAGCGAGATTACTTATTTATGCTGTATTTTTTAACAGTATTAATATGTGTTCGGCCATGTACTTTAACAAATTATATTAGTGACTATTTAATATGCTGTACTTAACTCTTTTGGCTTATTAACCAGTCTCAGTAGTTAGTTATAAATATGAAATACAATTTTCAGTTCTGGAAAATATGATCCGACCTGTTGCATCAGACTTACCATCTAGAGTTGTGGACGGGGATATCAAAATATGTAAGCGGACTAGAACAACGGAAAAGAATGTAAAATTTAAATTATTTATTTTATTTTAATATTACATGAAGTCTTATATTTCTATAATGTACATTTGTAGAGTACAATTCAAACTCCAGTACGATGTCCGGGTGTAATAAAGTTTGGAAAATTTGAAGTGGAGACATGTTATTCATGCCCATTCCCGCAAGAGGAGGATTCTCCGAGATTAATATTTTGTGAATTTTGTTTAAAATACACTAAATGTCAATCGATTTTGGAAAGACATATGCGACACTGTAATTGGAGAACACCACCAGGCACAGAGATCTACCAAAGTGGAGATTTAAGCGTTTTTGAAGTAAATTAATTTTATGAAACAATTCACTAGAGAAAAACTACTTACACAATTTTTTATTTATTTTTTCAAACAGGTTGATGGAAAAGTAGACAAAACTTATTGCCAAACACTATGTCGATTGGGGAAATTATTTTTGGACCTAAAAACTCTGGACTATGCCGTTGAACCGTTCTTATTTTATATTGTGACGAAAAACGACGGTTTTGTAAGTGTACCTAAATAAATAAATTTTAAATTGTAATTTTCGAACTGAAAACTGATCTTGGCAGGGTCTGCCCTTCGCTCGAATCATGTGACTAAACGCTTAAAAGAATCATTGAGCGATACTATAACAAAATATGTAACGCTGTCAATCCAAATTATCTTAAGTCCATACATTAATATATATATATATTTATGTGTATGTGTGTTTTTGTTTTTCTGCGCCCAATTAGAAGTCCACCCATTATATAACTTTAAATTTTAATACAAGTCAATAGTCCAAATTTATTAGTAGAATTATTCAATTCTGTCTACCGTCGCAAGACGGTAATTCACTATTTATTTTTTTTTATATTTGTCTACCATAATTATATTGTAATAATGTTCAATTAAAAATGTTAAGGGCTGTCATTTGGTTGGTTATTTTTCAAAACTAAAACAAAATGAAGAAAATTTTAATGTAGCTTGTATCGTTATCATGCCACAGTATCGAAGACAAGGGTATGGACGAATTCTCATCGAATTCAGTAAGTGAAAACTATATGGACCTAGGCGTTTTAGCATATATCATGTTTAGTTTATTTTTTCAGGTTACCTTCTATCTAGAATCGAAAGACAACCGGGAACCCCGGAAACACCCCTTTCCGGCTTGGGAAAAATGACGTACGATGCATATTGGAAAGGTGTTATTCTAGAATATTTAGATAAACACAGATGCATTGAAAACATATGCATCAATGATGTTAGCAGTGAAACTGGTAATTTAAAAACATTTTATTTGAAACTTTTTAATCAGAATTTTGACAGTCGTAATATTAATAACAATTTTAATTTAGGTTTAATGAGACAAGATATTATAGACACGTTCAAATCTCTACACATGGTTGTGGAAATCTTTAAAGAAATGACCATATGCATAGACTGGAATGTTGTAGATTCCCACATAAAGAAGAAAATTGAATCAAAACAAATTCATATCGAAACAGATCGATTGAGGTGGACACCGTCAAATTTACCGGATGGCCAAGTTAGTTTTTTATGATAAAAAAAAAAAAAGATTTCAAATAATTATAATGTTTTTTTTTAGGATAACCAACATCTTGAAGAATCGGTTTTCATCAAGTGCATTCCAGGAGGCTAACCCTAGTGTACTTGTGTGCTGCTGGCATGTATCCGGATTACACGCGGCTCACGAATGATGCGATGGTGGGCCCGGTGGCACGTTCGCCGAGATGCACGTGGTCGTCCACGCATACAAGTTGTCGTGGACAGGTGCGCCTTGTACGACGTAACCGATTATAGGTGGCTGTGCGTGGGTGCCGTCGGCGGGTTTTCGGTCGAGCACATCGGACTTGGCTGGCTGCTGTCCACCATCAACTGCGAGCTGTTCTTGGCCAACTACCAATCCATACCTAACCGCGCGGTCATCACTATCACGCTGACTGTTACGATGTTCCTGGCCCTAAATATTTACCCCGTGCTGGTGGACGAAGGTGGCATTATGTACCGAAACTATCAGATTTTCGTCTCTGTTTGGCCTCAAGTCCATAGTCACCTGCTTCCTGTGAACGAAGGCACGCGATCGAGTTAAACTGCTGCTGCTGGAGGTGATGTGGATTGTGGGTCCATGGCGATGACAAGTCGATTTGTACGAGTACGAGTCGAGCTTCCACACGATAGTTCTACGACTTTGGACTCGCGTCGAGTGTGCAGAACGTTATACAAACATATTACACATAATATACAATACAATATTATAATACAAGTGGTGGGACGATCTGCTGCAGGAGAAGGACTCGCCCTGCTTTTATATTTTTGGCGACAGTTGGATTTGTCCAAAAATACTGCAGAAATATCGTTTATTTGGCATTAAACTCAACGGGTAAGAAGAATTTTTCTGTGGAAACACTGTGTTTATCAATTTTGGGACAAACAAAGTATTCCACTTTTTCAAAAAAGTCAACATAGATTGTAAACAATTATTTTTCTTTATACTTTATTATCATTGTTTATAGTTGCTAATATTTTACACGTGTATAATATGCTGTACATTTTTTATATAACGATAAAAAAATTATGTAAATATATCAGCTATATGGACATTTTAATACTAATTGTAAATAATATTTTGTATATCAATCAATTTGTCTTTATTTTAAACATAGAATGTACATGATATTTGACATACATCCAAGTAAATAGACTGTTTGTTCTATTATAATTTAAAGTAAAAACTTTTTACATACGTCATTTTTTCTTTAGTAATGCATAATATAATCAAAATATTTTAAGTAATTTATTGTCTTTTTATTTATTTATTAATTATAATATGCCATTTATCTATTTTTCGCTGAGATTTATTATTATTTTTTCATGGAATAGAAGTATACTGTAATTAGGTATAGTAGAAAATTACTATTCTGATAAAAGTAAGATTCTTATATTTTTTTTTCAAAGAAAGTACGCTGATGTCTGTTGATTAGTGATTACTGAGAAAAAAAGGTTAATGACCAAATCATTAATTAGTACTTATTATTAAGGTTAAATAAACAGTTACATATTACTGTATTATATACTGGGTAACTTTTGAACTTGGACTTCTTCTTTTCACAGTTAACTGTCCTGAATACCTGACAAATACAATTATTTTTCGAGTTGAGAGAATCCGGAGCTTTTTAGGGCTCCGTAAACCACCCACGATGTAAGGGGAACACTTACACCGTGACCTATGAGCCGCACCGCGTGATGACCCGAGGGCCAAGTCGGTGGAGCTCATAGGCTTTGTTACACGCAACTACAAATGAATGTAGAGGATTTATTTAAGGGGAGAAAGATAATATTTGAAGATGATAATTTTGGGCTATTAACAAGATATATTAACTGGCATTACAAGTTAAGGTTAAAATTTAACATTACAAATAATAATAATTACATGACAATTGTAATCGGATATAAAAATTTGGCACATGGCAATTACAAAATAAGAATATGGTGGCACATGGCAAGTACAAAATATAAAAGGTACATGGTAAAAAACAGACGCTCGGCCCACGGGGATCGACACACCACATTACTCGTGGTGGTCTGCACAGGGTTACCGGGCGCAGTTTAAATGATTTGGGGGGTAAGCGAAGGGTCGAAACGTCTGTAAGTGTGGTCCGGGGCCCCCTACTGAAACGCGCACAGGGACAGCTGGTTTTTTACGCCAGCCGTATGTGAACGCGTAGGAGGTTACCCGCTAGGCCCCAATGGCAACCACACTTTGGCGTTCTGCAACGCACATTTTACAAGTATCGTGCTTTTAAGTGACAAGACAAAAAAAAGGGGGGAACAGGGGAATTATATTTACGACAGCCGAGTATGATGTTGACGATGATGATGTGCTGGTTTGACGGCAGTCACGTGGTTGTAGCATGGCCCGACCTCGGGCCCGTCGTAGAAAACTTAGCCCATCATGGCGTGTTGATAGTGAGCCAGAAAAAGGTATGTACTTTGGACAAGTAACGTATACTCAAAGTATGGCGTGATACACAGCGGGTTCGAGTCGGTCGTTGTTCACAAGTAGTGACGTCGTACCATGTGGAGCGGTAGTCAACCGTGGTCCGTGATACAAGACGAGAAAAAAGTGAGTGAGTTGTGTTGAGTGGAGACCCGGCGACATCGGTGGTCTGTTGCCGGCGGCGGAGCTTTTTGCCGTTGGTGGGGCAGGTCAGTGTCGTCGTTTTGTGGGATGATACAGTATATTCGGGGAGTACAGTATTGCCTGCGGGCCGTACCGGCGGACGCAACAAAAGCGCTGGAGATGACGGGCGGCGGGCCACCGCGGCACGTCTACGACGATCACTGCATGATGAAGGGGGAACGGGGAACATTTATTGCATAACACTGCGGTCATTTCTGCATTAGCGCGCGATAATCATAACAATATATAAATAAGGTATGTTTATTAATGGTAATATGGGTACAGGTATGTTTATGATATTAATAATATTAAGAGGACGCCACACCTGCATGTGTTGTCTCCGTCTTACAAATGTACAACATAGCAAAAACTCTTTTGCGAGGGACAACTTTTCTCGCACCATATTTGTTGTAGAACTACCAAATTTTCACAGCACTTAAAGAAGAACTTTATCTGTGCAACAGCGTGCTCTTTTTTTCAATAGCACCATCCAATCATTTTTTATAAGCAAATTAAAAAACCAAATGTTTAGAAGCAAATAACTTGTATTGTATATATGTTATTGAAAAAAAAGAGCACGCTGTTGCACAGATAAAGTTCTTCTTTAAGTGCTGTGAAAATTTGTTAGTTCTACAACAAATATGGTGCGAGAAAAGTTGTCCCCCGCAAAAGAGTTTTTGCTATGTTGTACATTTGTAAGACGGAGATAACACATGCGGGTGTGGCGTCCTCTTAATGCAAAAAATGCTGTGACGTTACAGAGTATTAGCTTAACTTGTATTATGTTAGTATATTACATTATATTTTCTAAATATACCTAGGTATCGGCTATATTTAATTAATGACACATAGTTATTTATTATATTCCGACTTTAAAATGGTACCTACACAAATTAAAAACAAATAATAAATGGTAAACTGTAATTTAGTACTTAGGTACAGCAGTACAGTACTACAGTATATTGTTTATAATCTATAACGCAGACACTTTGTATGGTCAGGTAAAAATATACATTACAGAACGCTTTGTAATTTGTGCTATTCTATACATTTTTATTTTTATTTTTTTATTATTTACACAACACATACCAGCGCATGGTTCAGCAGGTACAATAACAGTATGATCTATATAAAAAGAAAACATGAACAATTTCAATGAAGAATATACCAATTGATGACACTTTCGTATTTTATTTTCTATTATACCTACATAAAATATATATTATAAATATAAATTATACCTAAGTAATAAACATATTATATAATGTTAAACTTAAAAATTATGTTTCAGTTAGAAATTAATAAAAATCTTTAATTTTATAATTAACATTAGACATTTTGATTCCCAACAAGTTTTTCTACCTTCATCAAAAAAAAGTGAGCCGTCGGCGGGACGCCTGGCAGATGTGAAACATAAAACGTTGTTTAAGTTGTTCTCTGTGTAGTTCTCTATATTTTCGCTGACTCTCTTTTTTACGAGCACTCTTCATGTCTACACTGAAATTGTGAAAATTGAAACGAAAAGTTGAATAAAAATCAGTTTATTATCAGAGCAATGAAGATAGTTATAAAATGTTACTTTTCACTGGAATTTTCGTTATGCGGTACGTGTTCTGTACTATTAAAATCTGAACAGCTTGTCGTAGGTTGGAAAGGTATATTTTGTTTACTTTTCCTTCTTTCTGCTTCAAGTTGTTTTAGTTCTTCACGGTGCTGTTCCCTGTATCGTTGTTGCCGACCTTTTTTACTAAGAGCACTGTTATAATATAGGTACGTATTATATATATATATATATATAATATAATATAATATAATATAAAACAGTATATATAAATAATATATTATAATATATTTATATCATATATAATATAATATATTTAATATATCGATTAAGAATTTTAAACAAAAGTATTTTTTCAACACGCACGTGCACATCGCGTTTTATTATACGCGATTGCCCATGACGTGTTAGATTTTTCTAACAATATATTTTTATATAATTCCATTGAAAAATGAATTCTATTTTTTCACAAATTATATTTATAACATTATAAACTGGCCTTAATAATATCTACTAATCAAATTTTTAGTATAACCGCTTCAACAATAACAAGCGTCCATTTAGATTTTAGATCATTGAGTTAAGTTACTATCTATAGCACCATGATAAGCACCATTCGAATACCACTTATCACATTTCGTTTACTAATCATATTAAGTCATAAACATAATTTATAACTAATATCTATTAATCTAATTAGTATTTTACTTCTTCACTATCTTGTAATATAAAGACGAAGTTATACAGAGATCATTCTTATTAAAATAAACAAACTAACCTTTGGCTCGAATCACTAAATTATGAATCGGGATATACATCAAAAGCACATGACGGAGACATTTCACTCCGACCTGCATTTTGGTTAACTTGAAATTTAACTTTTTTTCTGGCGGCGGTGCACTGTCTCGTGCCATTATATTTTGTAATATATTCACTTTTACTGTCACTCATATTTCATTAGAAAATATATATCGTTATTACAACGGTCCGTTCAAACCAACATAATATACAATATACATAGACGTAACAATACAATCAACGTAATATACAATCAATTTATTTATACGCAACAACATAGGTGTACATATTATACGTTTATAAATCGTATAAAAATAGATAAGCCGATACTGCGCACATAGAGAGGAAATCGCCGAGCTTCGGAGAATTGAGAATTGAGAATTTTTGTGGTGGGAGAACACACAGTTGCGTATCTCAAAGTTGATATCATACCTGTTTATTTTGTCATGGCTACGGAGTGGCGACGCGTCGCCACGCCACTGTTGGTCTCACTACTGTACCGCGCCATAAGATGTTTCACATCAAAAATAAAAGACACATTATTGTTAAA